GTGTCGAAATTTGCTTTTTTTATCTGAATATATTGTTCGACACGTTGGTGTCGAAAATTGACCCAGAAATCGACATGTATGTGTCGAAAATTGCCGGCGGGTTTCGAATCTGACTAAGACTTCGAAATCGACTTCGAAGCTCAAAAAAAACATGAATACATAACTTAATGGGTTCTCTTTCCATATATACTACCATATTATTGTCTTATAACTCCATTTTATAAGTTTTGTGAGGTTTTGATTTTTTGAATTTGGAGATGTTTTGGAGGATTTAAGAAGATGAAGAAGATAGGGTTTAAGGGATTTGAGTTTGGGAAGAAGAAGAGAGGATTTCTTTTTCTTTTTTTCCTTGGTATTGAAGAGAGGAATAAAAAAATTGTTTGTATAAATTCTATTTTGGTTGATGAAGGGCGTTTTTGTACTTTGCTAACTATTTTGTTTATTTATGGTTTTAAACTAAGAAAAAGTTGTAAAAACTTCTATAAAAAATGTTTTTAAACTTGGAGGTACTGAAGTGAGAAAAATTTGGAATTTGTTTTAGTTGCCCCCTTGTGAAAATTCGCGTGTGTGTGACTGTGCGTAGCTCCATATAATCAGGAGAGAAACCAATTGGAGCTACTCATTAATTGTTAATTCAACATAATATGTACCTCTTGAACATTAGATGGGACTAGCCATTCGTTTAGGTGCATTGGATAAACCTGCACTCTCGTGTAATAGATTGACGTAAATCACGGGATAATTACATTTTTGGTCCCCCAAGTTTGCCCGCTTTTCCGTTTTGGTCCCCCATTTACCGCAGTCAACAAAATACACTCTCGTTTTATCAAAATTTAACACATTTGGTCCTGCCGTTTGGTTGACCGTCTGACTTAACAGTCAACCGTCATGTGCCACGCACGTGACTTCAAATTAGGGCTTAATTTGCGTTTTTTCCCCCAAAATCACCATTTCTCTATCTCTCTCTCTATCTCTCCACGCTCTCTCTCTCTCAATCTCAAATTAGGGCGTTCTGGTAATTAATCGCATGCTGAGGGGCGGAATTGTTCCGACGGTTCCGACTTTCACGACGGTGATTCACGTGCTTTGTAAAGAATCTAAATTTTCGGAGGCGCTCGATTGTAAAAAGTTGATGGAGAATCATGGCTGTAAGCCTGATGTAGTTGCTTACAATGTGCTATTGACTGGCTTATGTCGGAGTGGTGATATTGCTCGTGCTTTTGCGTTGTACGAGGAGATGAAATTAAGGAGTGTTTGTCCGAATATCACCACTTTTTACGTTCTTGTTAGTGCCGTTTTGTCTGAAAATGATTGTGTTAATGGTGAGGGAATTTTGAAGGATTTGGAGGAGAGAGGATTAGTTAGTGGAGATTCGGTTTCTTGAGATTGGAATATAAGATTGGCTGAGGCTGTAGTGAATATAGACCGCTTAAGGCACAAATCGAAGATCGGTGGAATCAGAAGATAAAATATTCTTTCTTTATTTTCTTGATTACTGAAAGATCAGGAATCGTGGGGTTTTGACCACTTAACGGGGTCTAATGCTGAAATCAAGGTATTTTTTTTTTGCTTTTATTGGTTAGTGATGAATTTTCTTGATTTTGTCTATTTTCCTAAGTACATTTTGTTGTTTAAATTTTCTGTATTTATCATATTTCTTATAATTTTGTTATCTGCACATGCAGGCTGAATCAAAAGATTCGACTTATGGGCGTTCGAGTTAAATCAAAAAGTTGCTTATGCAACTATTGCCAGGTAGAATATCCTCTTCTTTTGCTTCTTTTTAGTTATATAATTCCTCAAAAAGAACAGTGCAGTAAAAATGTGCAAGAAACACGATCAAGAATTTGTTTACTCAAAATGTAACTCTGAGAAATCAGGTTTTAAAAATCGAGTCTTTGTAAAGTATGAAAGAATCACCCTTTTTCCCACATCTTGTTTTCGCCACTTTAAGACATGAAATTCTCCAGGTCTTCGATTGGTATAAATTTTTTGAGATATGATACCTTAAAAGTTTGACTACATGTTTTCGACTGGTTTGTGACAGATGATGTATTTCAGATACAGCGACAGGCTGGTTGAATTTCATCGCGGACAGACGAATGAAAGCCAAAGGATATACAATCGTGTCCGTGAGTTATGTTCTCGTTTTGTTTAAAACGCAGTGCAGTGAGTTCACGCTGTTCGATTTTTGGGAAGTTTGATGAAGTCTGAAATGGAGGAACTACTAATCCAAGCAAAGTTTGTAGTGTCACATTTTCCATTATTGGCGCAAAGTGTTATTTTTTATTCATTTCTTATGCAACTGTAATTATCAAATGTATTATTGGGTTTGGCTTCAATTCAATGTGATTTGTGTTGATTAATTTAAATACATATTTTGTTCAATTAAACTAGTTTATTAATCAAATCGAATTCAAATGAGAACCACTTGCTAATCATTTTTCCAAATGAGATATTTTGATTCAATTAATATAGTAATATCAACATACATGTAACTAAGTATACTTCATTTGGAATTAAAACGGTGATTTTGGGGGAAAAAAACGCAAATTAAGCCCTAATTTGAAGTCACGTGAGTGGCACATGACGGTTGACTGTTAAGTCAGACGGTCAATCAAACGGCAGGACCAAATGTGTTAAATTTTGATAAAACGAGAGTGTATTTTGTTGACTGCGGTAAATGGGGGACCAAAACGGAAAAGCGGGCAAACTTGGGGGACCAAAAATGTAATTATCCCCGTAAATCACACTACGCTAACTATGTGTCACAAGCTCGGCTTAGCGACCGTTGGCAAGAGGATTTAAATTTGGGTCAATTGACACAAATTCACTTGCTCCAACCGCTATGACATTTCTTGCATGAAACAAAATAATATATTAAGTTAATTATTAGCCAACTCGTTTACCACTACTTTTTATTATATCCCTTGTATCTTATATATGACTTTTTTTGCTTTTCAAAAATTTTTTTTAATTCATTATCTAGTTAGTACTCCGTTCGATTCAAAATATATATGTTGTTTAAAGAAAGCAAATAAGGCAATGAATATACTTGAATTTCAGGATACGACATTTGCTATTAAATGAAATGAATGAGTGATGAGTTAATATTTGCGAGGGTTAGACTAACAAGAGTGAAATTGAAAAACAAAATATTCGATTGAAATTTTAAAATGAAAAATAATTTTAAACAAATAATGCAGTAATTCTTAAGTAGTGCCAATTGCTTATAAAGACAATTTTGTAAATGTGTTTTAAAAAATATATATATATAAGTCACTCGTGTAAGATTATGGATTATGACCTGTCCATCACGAAATTAATTAATTAAATTTTGGTGCAGTATTATGACATAACTAATTAATAAATAAATAAATAAAACATTATTGAAATTGAAAGTTGAAACATATATCTAAAATAAATAATGAATTGAATTCCAAAGCCAGGCTTGAATACAACGTACAACCCACAAAATCCCAATACGCCTCCAACCGCAATTATGGTCTCGGTTCACTGTGGAACGTGGAAAACGGTTTGACTCTATATAAACGGTCCAGATTTCTCCAAATGATCGATCTCAGCCGTTCGATCGTCCCCGCCAACCAGCATATTCTGACAACTCACGATTGACGGTTGGTGGTAACAGGTCAAGGATGGGACCAATCACGTTGCTGAATCGTGCCACGTCAACCCCCATATCATGTTATTTGTGTTTTAGCCCCCCACGTTTTCCTACACTAAAATTACGCCCCCCCCCCCTAAAAATTCTGACCAGTTTATCATTCATTCATTCATGTGTGGTCATCATATTTACCATATTGCCCTCGCTCAAACTTTGGCTGAATGAGTTAATTGTAATTTTGTACAAGAGAAATTTTATACTTCTTAATTGCATAGGAGTTTTTTCTCCGAAAAAAAATAAAAAATAAAAAATAAAAATAAATTGACCTAATTTTTTTATTTTCCATATATTATTTTAAATTTGATACTTAGTTAATTATTGATTATTTAAATACTAAATAGATGGTAAAAAATGTTTTAAAATTTTTTTTTTTTCTCTATGTAGCATGGATATGGAAACGGCTAGACGGGATACGGAAACTTGGGGGAAATGTACAAGTATTCTAGGGGTAAATTTATAAATATGTTATATAAACAAATATAAATTTATTTATATATAATTTTTCTTTTTCTTTTTTATATATATTCATACAAATATATTCAACATAAATATTATTATCAACTATCAATTTGCAATTGATCACTAAAATCATGTAATTAACTAGAAAAGCAACAAAAATATTTAAAAACTCGATATTCAAACATATTTCTAACTTTTCAGAAATTTCAAAATAACCCATAAGGTCTCCGATATGTATCCTCGAATTGCACACAATAAGTAACCGAAACACGAAAACATTAAGCAGTTGAAGTTTTGTGCTACATACCTTTTTTCTTTTTCAATAATCCTGGTAAAAAAAAAAAAGGGGAGTTGAGGTTATGGGGTAGTTGGTTGAAGATAGAGGTTAACTAGGAGTGGCAGTTTAGTAAAATTCAAAATCGGCATGAAATCTAAAACCTATCCATTTTTCTTCATTTTTAATTAATTAAATAAATAAATAAATAATCCAAGAAAGACAGAGACAACTCCCCTCCCTCATCATAGTACTGTCGAACACACACAGAGGACACCACCTTTTATAGAAAGAAGAAAGCAGCTTTCAAAACTCAAACCAATCCATCATAAAAAATCCCACACCCCCTTTTGAGCATTATTCAACAAGGTAATATTCATACACTACTCTTTTTTTTTTTTTTTTTTGGTGCTGCAAGAACTCATCTTTTTCTTTTTGTTTTTATTATCTTTTTAAATAAATAAATAAATAATTTCTATGATCGTTTTGTCACTGTTGTTCTTCCTTGACTTTTGTCTCAAATCTTCCACAGTAGATCTATCTCCCCCATCTTCTTCTCATCTGAAATTGAAAAAATAAAAATGGATTCTTTAACTTGCAGAAATTGAATGATCTCTGAGTTAATTAACAATTTGAAGAAACTGCTTTCTGGGTTTTTTTAGTTGTGCCAATATTTGCATATTTCTTGCATTTATTTGAAAAATTATGATTTTTTTGCTTTTTTAATTTTTTTTATTACAGTATTTTGTCTTTTTTTATCTTTGCCTGAATGAATGATTTATTACAGGGAGGGAATATAATCTTTTGTTTGTGGAATGGAGGTAGAAAATGGGGAGCATGAAAAAAGAGTTGTTCTTGAGAATTCCAACACTGAAGAAATCTCTAATTCTTGTCTGGATCTAAACAAGGAAAATTTCATTACCAGTGATGACTCATTTCCTTGTAAAAATGAAGTCTTCAAAAAAGATGTAATAAAAGACAATGAGGCCCTTAGTTCTTCATCAATATCCCAGCCAGAAGTCGAATTACCCGCATCTTTATCGAAGAGCAACAAATCGTCTAACGAGGGTAAAAAGAATTCCACCACGAAAAACAGTAAATTGTTGGGCAAGAATCAATCCGATTCGAAAGGATCGGTTGTGTTTGGCCGCAGCACGAAGCTGAGCTTGTCGCAGAGTCTCTCTTTCCCCGCAAGAGGGCGTCATTCCGATGTAATGAAACGAACAATCGACGAGTTTCCGGTTACGCCCCTCAAAAACGGTGCTAAAGATGTGTCCAAAGGTTCGAATGTGAATATTAAGGGCGGCAATAGACGCTCGACTTTATCATCTTTGCCTAGCCTTCGTAAATCTGTTGTGGTAAAATATCTCCCTTTTTGCCTCTACTTCGATCTTTGTTTGCATGTGTGTTTCGATTGTATGATTATTAAAGTATTTATTTAAAAAAAAAAATCGGCTTTGTGATTCAGGCTCGAAAACATGTGTCTTCTAATCAACCATCTGCGAAAAACACTACAACTGATGTGTAAGTTAGCATTGTTTATTTGATATATTAATTATATAAACTCGTTAGTTTAATCGAAAGCATTCGTATTTTCACAATGTACTCTTTGATCATTTAGTTTATAAAACGCAGATCGGTTGAGAAAAAATCGGAGACTAGCAATAACGATGTCCCTGTTCAGGAGGACGATACTCGTTCCACTACTTCATCGTACTACATTTTCATTTTTTTCATTTTTTTTGAATTTCAATTTATTCACATTAATCGGGATTTCTGTCGAACGTAATTTGTCTGTTTGTACTTCAAAAAAACAGAACACTAACTCCTAGAACACAGGAGAGGCTTAACGTAGCAGCCTTCTCATTCAGGTTGCAAGAACGTGCCGAAAAACGTAAAGAGGTAAACAATCTCCTAATCGAACTAAATATTTTACGATGCTATATATTTTTTCTCTAATTTCGTCGCATTAAATAAACGTGTCACAATACCACGACTGATATTTCGTTTTTAATGGTCAGTTCTTTTCGAAGATAGAAGAGAAAATACAAGCCAAGGAAGAGGAGAAGACTACTTTGCAAGCCAAATCGAAGGTTTTTGTTTTTAGATTAAATATTATAGTTTCGGTTTCTCGATCGCTCGTTTTTTTTAATCATAATATTTTTTTTTTCGGGATTTGATTAATAGGAAAGTCAAGAGGCGGAGATAAAGCAGCTGAGAAAGAGCTTGACGTTTAAAGCTGCACCTATGCCGAGTTTCTACAAAGAACCCCCTCTGAAAGTCGAACTCAAGAAGGTAACCTTGTCCTAACGTTTCTTACAACCTTTGACATGTCGAAATCATTACCAAGTGGTTTATTAAGTTGTTGTTTCTTTCTCGTTTGTGTTGAATAGATACCGACTACACGTCCGATATCGCCTAAGCTCGGAAGGAACAAAGGTGCTCCGTCGTCAGAAAACGGTGGATTTTGTGTTAGTCCGAAGATAAACGGCGACAAGGACAATAAGAAAACAAGCAAGAGCGCGTTGTCCAAATCTCAAACTCGAGAATCCTCCACTGCTCGAAAAGCGAAGATTGTCCAAACAGAGGGCAAATTAACCAAACAAACTTGTGAACACAGCAATGAAGAAGAAATCCAGGATCGCCCGCGTTGTGTCCCGGAAATCGAGGATCAGATAGAAGCGGTAGATCAAGCTTCTTCTAACACTAATGGATCGCGCGTCGGTTTGCTAAACTCTGAGGCGATGCATGCAAATGTGGCCGTCGAAGGATGAATAATTATATATATATATATATTGAAGTTATGGTCTTTGCTTACGGAAAACTCCATCTTGTTTGTGAATACGGTTCGTGTATGTTATAAAGGGAAAATTTGTTGAAGTTTGACGTATAAATTCGTTTGTGTTTAAGTCGACATGTAATTTTTATTTTTTTTGGTTCCTTTTTTTTTGTGTATTATAGTTCAAAGAGTATCGCGAAGGAAGTTGAGTTGAATGCGTAATTATTGAAGTTTGTGTCGATTTTTACCGAGTTTGATAAGTTTTATTTTGAACTAGATTTAATTTAGTAATCGAGTTTAGCTCAAAATAAATCGAGATTCGACTATTTATTTCCAAATTTACTAGCATTTCACCTTTTTAAAGTTATTTAATTATTTATAATACTTCACTACATAAAATTCAATTCAATGGATTCATATGATTAGTAATTTAGTATTATATTTATGCCCTATATTTATTGATCATATCATAAAATAATATTTTAATTAAAATCATAGTAAAACAAGGGAAATTCTATGCTACACCTGGTGAATATAACCAGGCACCCAAATTAATAAAATTTCCACTACGGGTTCAAATATGGCCCAATGGGTTTTAGAAATATAATTATAAAATAAATAAAAAAGGACACATGTCAAGAAAAGAGCCACCCGGTGAAAATCACCGGGTGTAGCATCGTATTCCCCAACAACTTACTAAACAAACATAAAGGTGAATTCATTGTCATCTTTTAGTCTATATTATTAGAATTTTACTTCTTAAATTTTAATTTTCAATTCCAGAAAATAATATTTCCATTTCGTATTATTATGAAATGACCATATTGACCCTGGAATATTATTAAATTGCACCCATAACAAAACCCAATTTGGCGGCACATGGAAAAAAATTGGAGTTACAAAATTTTGGTTGTTAATGAAATTTTTGACTTTTTCGAATAGATCAATAAAGTCAATGGATTTAAGTCCCCACAAACTAAATAATTCCATGTGAAACAGCTCACTTTTCTCTTTGGTGATGTGATTAATCATTATACTTGTGATCATTAAATAAATTATCTAATTCACTTTATAAATATATAGCTACTAACTTGCTAGAAGTAAGTATATATTTCGTACTTGTAATTTATAAGATTAAATAAAGTTATCTCACCTAATTAGTCGTAATTTTTTTTTTACAAAATAAAAAATAAAAAAGAAAAAAGATTCCACATTAGGTTTAAAAAAATTGATATGCCGGTCAATTAAATACTATTTTTATAAATATTATTATGTAAAAAGAAAAGGAATAAAAACAAAAAAAGATGCCGGCATAAATAAGAAAATATTATAGACACACACCCGATAATTGACAATGATACGTCCCTCTTTTGATTTTGTAAAGACGACTGAGAACCAGTGATGAAAATTATATTCGATCTACCCCTGATTAAATTACTAATTTACCCTTAACATGTGAGTTTAATTGCTAGTTACAAAAGGAATATGTTAAACATTTAAAAGTCATAAAATAGACTTTACTAAAATGCTCATAGGAAACGTGTTGCAATCTAATATCCATTAATTTAAGTAGTAGGCCAAACATAGACGTCAAATATTAAAGGGTAAATTACAAACACCCCCTGAGGTATGGTCAAATTACAAAAACACCCCTGTTGTTTGGATAATTACAACCACCCCCTCGACTCCTCAAATTTAGTGGAATCTTCGAGATTATATGTAATATTATCACTTTCTTATCCGTTTTATCTCATTCGAACTCTACATTATGAAGCAAGATGATCATAATATGTGTTTTTTTTCTTGTACATATCAGTTTGTGGTGCATCGAAAACTGTATTTTTACACAAAGCGAGTATAAACTAGAGCACATTCCACGGAATCTAGATGATTATGTTGAATTTGGCAACATAACGGTGGAGGTGTAAAACAAAATCATAGTTGAGGGGGGTAGATGTAATTATCCAAACAAGAGGGGGGATTTTGTAATTTGACCATACCTCAGGGGGTGTTTGTAATTTACCCAATATTAAATGGTTTGTAATTTATTTGTATTAATAAATTATAGATATAATGAAAATGTTATATGGTTCAAGAACTCCACTCTGAATGTCTTGAATATACATTGAGAAATATTGAAAGACAATATAGGTTTAATCAATGTACTTTGAATGACTGAATTTTCTTTTTCTTGTGAATCAAAAATAAAGTTTCATAAATATATTTAATAAGTAAATTTGGTCTTACATCCCCACACACACACACACACACACACATATATATATATATATATATATATATATATATATATATATATATATATATATATATATATATATATATATATATAGAATTGGTAAATTACCGTCAAAATTACGAAAAAAAAATCCTCATATTTTGACAATTACAACTACCCCCAACAATGAGTCTTCTTACCCTTATGGTGTCAAATTGAACATATTTTTTTAGATATTGTGAAATGTTTTATAATTTGTACCGATTCTACCATATTCGAGCTTTATATTGTGAAATAAGAGGATCATAAGATATGTCTATTGACTTGTAAATATCAGATTGTGGTGCATTATAAACTACGTATTTGCACAACACAAGTACAAATTGGAGAATATTCCACATAATCTAAGGTTGTATTTAGATGGAGGGATTTCGATGAGGGATTTCAAATCCATAATAACAAATCCCTTAGACTTGTTTGGATTGAGGGATTTGGGGATGAATTTCAAATCCACACCCCTTCTTTTTAGTTGTTTTTTGAGCAATCGAGGTGGATTTCAAATGACTCCAAATTGGAGTCATTTCAAATTCCTTCCCCAAATCAAATCACTCCATCCAAACGCACTCTAAAAGATTCCACTAAATATAACACCACAATGATAGACGTGTAAAAAGATTAATAGTTGAAAAGTAGTTATAATTACTAAAATATGAGAGATTTTTCGTAATTTAACATTACCTCAAGGGTGCTCGTATAGCCTAAAAATAAAATATGTGAAACTAATGCATACGTCAAAAATAAATGTAGACTAAAAAGAAGAGCAAAAGTTAAAATTGAGTCACAAGAATTGGAGGCAAAAGGCAAAACTCAGCTATCATTCATCAACCCACTAGTAGTCTAGTGGTACCAATATATATATATATATATATATATATATATATATATATATATATATATATATATATATATATATATATATTCCTCAAAAGGACTGTATATTTTTGTTTTGTGAAAAATACACTGTCGGTGGAACAAACTTACATACAAATAAAATAAATTGATATGTAATTACAGTATTTATAGCAAAATAACAAATAAAAAACAAAATCAAAAATAAAAATTAAAAAAATAAAAATAAAAAACTCTCTTGTTGGGGGTGTTGAGGGACAGACGCAACTATCTCCACCCCTTTATGTTTGTCTTCCACATGCTCATCCTAAACAACTTTTTTAATAATAAAAAAATAAAAAATAAAATTTGTTAGCAAATAAATTAAAATAATAATCTCTCAAATTAAATCACATCAAAATAAAAAATAAATTGTTTATTGCTCACCCTTTTGTGCATCTTTGTGTTTCTGCCCCTTCATTTATTCATTTCTAAAAATATTTTATTTTTTTAAATTTTTTTTTTTTTTTGGAAAGGTGGGAAATTTTTAATGACAGCTACTTCCAACAGCCCCAAGCATCGTGCAAGCCATTTCCAACAATTTCCCTGCACCAAATTAATTAACTTCAATATTTTTTTTTTCACAATTAAAACATAATTAAATTAAGAATATAATCACACAAAAGTAGAAAGAAAAAAAAAAAAAAAAGAACACTTGCAGTACAAGTCAACACACACACAGGCTGGTGTAAAGCAATGAAGATTAGAATCAAGAATTATTATGAAATCATGATCCACACACAGCTGGCATGTGGGATGATGATAATAGGCTGGAATAATTCTGAGTTAACTCAATCAGAAAAAAAGAAGTTGTTATCGTGTTACTTGCTACACCAGATTCCATCCTCTAATAATAGTCACTGCTAAAACTCATTTATTTACCTAATTTAGTGATATAAAGAAATAAATGAAAGTGAAATGTGATTATAACACCCTGCCTAATCACTTCCTTAATACATTTAATTAACATGTAACGCACAATAATCGAAGTATTAATCAAGATAACTTAATGTTGTTAACTCAATCTACTGTCTGGATACATATGATCTTGATAGACGAAATTCACCGAGTCGATTTTTTTTATGTTTTAAGCGTGTGATAAAATATAACTCAAACAAATTCATCGAGTGTAGCATAGAACAAGCTCGATATACATATATAAAGATATATATGTATATATAGAAGACCTTAAATTAAGAAAAAGATGAAAGCAAAGAGACAAAAGAGTTGCAGCTGTAACACCTAAAGCAATTACTTCAATTGACTATATACATTATTATCATCACCAACAAATATTCAATTGCAACAAAATAAAACCAAATTACTTCCACCGGCAACTAACTAAGATTCCCACCGCCAACATATATTCCGGCCAAAGAAACTACAGCATTATCACAATTTCCGGCCACACCCGGAAAACAATATTCTATACTCGAAATTCAGATTGTATATCAAGAAATGTTCAACAATAAAATCATACCAAAAAAATATTTAAAAAAAAAATAAGTGAATAATTAATAAATAAATTAATTAAATAAATTGGCTAATTAAAAGAAGATACCTCTTCTTGGCTTTGAAGCAATCTTGGCAGAAGGTGCAGGTTTGGGGGCGGCGGTAGTTTCCTCCGGCGGAAACAGAACACCGTCAATCCCCTGAACAGAGATTCTCCCGTCGGTGTAGATATCCGGGTCAAATAGATAAGCGGATCCTTCGCCCTGCCCGAATTTGACCGACCCATCGGCCTCCTCCGCCACAACCTTGTACGGCAATCTCAGCGTATCGTATTTCACCTTCCCGAATCTCCTAACGGAGTTGTACATACTCTCCTCCGTCTGATACTCCGGAATCATATGGTAGTACATGATTCGCTCCGGCGCACCTGGTTCGCTCAGCTGGTCCGTAGTCAGCTTCGCCATGGCTTCGTCGTTCGGGGCCAACACGGTCAGAACGTAGCCCTCGGAAACTAATCTCCCCATCTCAGAAGCCAATGACGTCAGATTCACCAGGATATCCGCCATTTCGTTGTACCCGCCGTAATGCAGGAGGGTTTGGATGAAGTCCTTCACCTGACTCTCGCCGTCGAAGTGGTGGTGGGGCCCGCCGGGACCTGGAGCCGGAGCCGGAGCGAGGGATGGGCCCGGCGACATCGCGTCGTAGATGGGGAGAGCCGGCGGCGCGCCGGCGGAGACCGGAGGGGCGGGCTTCTTCAGCCTGTGGGTCCTGGGGTCGACTTCCGGCGCGCCCTCCGGGATGACGGCGGAGGTGGCGGCGAGGCTCCGCCTGGCGTTGAAATCCTGCTGGACGGATTTGGGGATGAGCAGCCTCTCAATGCCGTGGATGACGCCGTCGGGGCGGACGATGTCGTCGGATTTGATAACCCTGGCGGTGCTCACGGCCTTATCTCCGTTCTTCTGTACAATCAGCTGAATCCTCTCGCCGTTTGCGTCGCGGCAGAGGCTGGCGTGGAAGACGGACTTCTTCATCTTCTTCTCCAACGGCCAGTGATTGGACTCAATGCGAGAGGGAATCATGTGGAACAGCAGCAGATTTTGGAGTGACTTGAGATTCCGCGGCTCCAGCAAAAACAGCTTGAATTCAGGGTCCAAATCCCTCTCCAAAGCCTCATTTCTGGGAGCGAAGATTGTGATATTGTGGCGGGTGACGGCTTGTTCTAGGGTTTGGAGCAATAGGGCTTTCTCCACCAGCTCCGACAGCTCGGTGTAGTGAGAATCCAGAAGCGCCACAAGGACTGAGTTGGAGTTAATCTGAGCCGTCGGATTAGCGGTGGATGGATTCTCCGGCATTGCAGAAGTGGAGGAGACGGCGAGAAAGGTGAGGAAGAGGACGACGCCATAGATCTGAGAATCCATGGCGTTTGATGACTTCTGGGGGAGTTTTTCTCTCTCTATAACTCTCTCTCTCTCTAAATTTTGTTTGGTGTTGGTTTCTCTCTCTAGTTTGGGGGTTTGTTGTGTGAGGGGGGAAATGTGGAGTTGCTTTGCTTTGGGTAGTGGGAATGTGTTTTGTTTGTTTGGTGGAGCATTAAAAGTAGGGTGAAAGAGTAGTAAGGGCTATTTTTGGTATTTCAATCTCTCCCTTTTCTTTTTTTCTTTTTTTCTTTTTTTATTATGTGTATTTGTTTTGTGTAGTGGAGAGTCGAGACTCGGACAAGGGAGCCTAGTTTGGGGCGTTGACTAACTGCATTAGGGCAAAATTACGAGGTACTTTTTATTTTATTTTATTTTATTCCTCACTGACTCTAATAAATATAGAATAAATTAGAAACACCTACCCAAGTAAAATGTAGTAACAAAAAAAAAACCATTATTTTGAGAAATTACATCGAGCATCTTGCAGTTTGTAAATTTCTTATATCCACCCCTCTATAAACGGGATTTAATGTAAAAATTCTACAAATTGCAGGAGATAATTTATCCATAAATATATTATTAGGTAAATTTTAAGGACTTAGACGTTTTTTGCAAAGAAGTTCGAATTTACATTTCTCCATCAAATACTTAACGGGTCAAGGGACGGGGGCGAGGGATTTCGCCTTTATTATCCCCTTCGACATTTTTTACTTGATTTTAATGAAGTTTTGTTAAGTGTCAAGTGTATTGGTGAGTTTATATATTATGATACATGGTTTCTTAAATGCTTGTATGAACATTACTATTAGGAGTTCCAAAAATATAAATATTAGTTAAATTAATTTACAATAATTATTAAGCTGGTAAGGATGGCAATGGGATCCATCGTCAAAATGCCTATCAATTCCTACTGATTTGATCGTCAGAGTGCTAACTCCGACATTAGTTTGGCTTCCTTTTCTTAGTAACTTGGTCCCACTCTTGAAAATCGAACGGGTACTCATCCAATGAAGGGATCCATCTGATCGAGGTGTTTTCCAGCTGATCATGTGATTAAACAAATTAATTGAATTGTCCATTTTATATGCATAAAAATATATTAGAAGAACTAGGATCTAGAGATTTAATTAATAAAACTCCAATTGAAAGCCCAAAAAAAGTAATTTTACATGAAATAAAGAAAATTACAACACAAGGCCCCAATTCTTTTTTATTTTGCGTAGGTCCTCTACACCTAAAAGTGGTCCTCCTATTAATTCATGGTTTCACATATATAATATAATGTTTATTTATTGGTGAAATGCAATATCAAATTACCCATAGTTTTTGTAGTGCTAAACTCATACCTTAATATAAATAAATAATTAAATATTTTATATATATGCATCATGCATAGCACATTGAGTTATTTTAAGCTCGACAAAATAATATGGTATTTAACAAATTTAATTAAAGGGGGGAAAATGTCACAAGAACAGATTCCCAAGGGTAAAGTAGGAAATGTACTGGTACAGGCTAGAAGTAGGACCACGCGGCGCTGCGCTTGGTGGTGGTGGTACTCTACTCCGTGTATTGTTAAAATTAAATATTTTAAAATTATTCATAGATTTATCTAAATAAAAATAAAATAAAATCATACAGCAATAAGAACAACGAATGAGCCATTTGCCGACACGGCTCGGCTAGTAAGCTTAGCCGCGAGGAGCTAATATTTGCTTAAATGGAATGGCTCAAGAACTTGAGAACTTGAGCCGAGCCGATACAGCAGGAGGGCGAGCTGTTAATTGCCTGAAAATATGAATCAGTGCCATGTTTCGAAGCCAAGCTACGAATAAATACACGTTCCTTTCTAATCGCGTGGAGCGCGTGAACAATGTGTTTGGTTCCTTTCACAATCCACACCTCAATTAGTGACAGCTCTCCAAACTGGAAAAAGAAATTGTCATCTCATTCATTATAATTGCTCCTACTTATTATATACTCCCTCCGTCCTAATTTAAATGACGTTTTGTGTTGTTTCACACATATTAAGAAAATTAATAAATGGGTATAGATTATAGTAAAAAACATAGGAAAATACTAATATATCCTAGACATTAATTGTTTTACAACTAACTAATTAGGAGTTATAAAGGGTAAAATTGAAAATAGTGCAATTAATGATGCATTGAAAATCTAAAATGACAAATAATTTGGGACAAGAAAAATATCTAAAAAGACATATAATATGGGACAGAGGGAGTACATGATAACACGTCGAAAAAAACTAAATATTACTATATATTAAATAATATTATTATTTGATTTGGGACATACAATTTATTCGAATAACATCATCACCAAAAAACTAATATGATCTTTAATGAAATACTCCAATAAATACTGCACGAAATAAGCCCAGAACTCGAAACAAAAGAAAAAAGAAGGGGAAAAGTATTTATGGCGAACACACAAAAAAAAAATGGGGGAAAGTATTTATGGGGTTAGGTTATTGGCCCTAGATTTTTTTTAGTTTTTTAATGAAAGAACTCGTAAAACTGCACTCTCGTAATAATAGTCAGCAAACTATATGAGAGACGTATATCACACTAGGCTAATCATGTGAGACAAGTTTAATCTAGCAACCATTGGTACGAGAATTCGAATTTTGGTCAATTAACACAAATTCACTTATTTCAATCGTTAGGTCACCTGATGCAGAATTTGTTCTTATATATTTTTCATATTAAAAAAGTTGGTAGAAATGCTAGCCATACTCAATGAAAAATAATAGGGTAAATTCCACTTTACCCTCTCGTACTCTCCCTGTGAATCACTTTACCCCTCGTACTCTCAATTTTATCGATTTATCCCCTTGTACTTGTACAATTTCCCAATATAGCCCTTTCCTTCAACTTTTGTCAATTTTGACCTTTGACGCCGTTTGGTCAACTCTGTAAATTACAAAATTGCCACTGCCTATAACGCGTCGTTTCTCCTCCGTCAATATTGTCATTTCTTCTTCTCCCACCACTTCCCCTTCCAAGATATCCCCAAACTGAATACCTAACTTAGTAAAAATCAAGACCCAAAATTTGATCGATTCCACCTAGTGCAAAGAAAAAAATATATGAATATGTGAAACTTTCTCTTTTCTAATCTCGAGAGTCAAAATCGAAAAAACTCAATATTTACGTCAATATTTTGACTCTTGACCAAATGGCGTCAGAGTCAAAATCGAAAAAAGTTGACGAAGAGGGTTGTATTGGGAAATTGTACAAGTACAAGGGAATAAATTGACGAAATTAAGAGTACGAGGGGTAAAGTGGTTCTTGGGCACAGTACAATGGGGTGAAGCGGAATATACCCAAAATAATATACATATAAATATAATTTAATTGTGGGAGATGATTAATTAAGGAATCAAATAAAACAAAAAAATATACATATAAATATAATTTAATTGTGGGAGATGATTGATTAAGGAATCAAATAAAACAAAAAATCAGTGGTTGTTGAGTCATGAGTTTAGGATTTGTGAATGATTAAATTGTGATTAACGAGAGAAATGCAGTCCTAAAGTGAAAATTGCTTTTGTCGGTGGCTAAAGAGGGTGATAGATGTGGCCTGTGGGCCTCGTCATCATATTCATGTCCAATTCTTGGATTTTTTTTTAATTTATATTCTCAATTTTAGATGTATTTATGAGACATTTCTAACTATTTATTGAGGTAGTTGCTACTCCATTCGTACCTAATTATAATTGGAATCCAAGAATTTATGCAGCTGTTGAGAGATATTTCTAATTTATGTTCTCTATTTCTTTTTCTTTTTTTTTTTTTTTTCTTTTTTATTGGCATTCAAAGAAACCCGTATTTATAAATAACCGGCCATAATTTTAACACACTCCTATCCTAAATTACATGAAATTAGGGTTGTCAATCAGGCTATGTGAGTCGAGTTTGGTTGACTCAAACCCATACGTCATCGTAACTCATTACTATTGGGTCAAACTTGGCTCGTATTTTTTTTCAGGCTTCCACTTTATATCGAGATTTTGGCCCGTCTTGACTCTCGAAATCCACTTAGACAAGCTCTCGGCCCATTTTACTTCTTGCTTCGATTTCATAAACATTTGACCAAACGCAAGCCAAAGTTGATTAAGCAAATACATTCTCTAAATTGCGAAGTGCAAAATATTAAGGTGTCGGTTATGCAAATTATTTGACCTCCAGACAGTCAATATTTAATTAATCCCAATTTTCAAACTCACTAAAACTAAAACTACAACTACAACGTACGGTCCATCAAATAGATTGTCGGCAGGCGGCAGCCGAATGTGTTTTCTGTTATTATTTTAAGGCAAATGGGGTCCATATTATAAACTCAGTGACACTCACATTTCACGAGATTATTTCAATGTTCAAAATTTGTCTAGCTAAGTTTTTAGGGTCTAATAAATTTCCATGATTCATTATATTTTTTTTTCTTAAATGTCATTCTACCATATTTCACTTAAATGTCTTGGAACCCCACGATTTCATGGATGGAAAATAAATGTTTTAGTTGACGTGGTACGAGTCCACGTTACGTTTTTTCAATTCCTCCCTCGCAAGTCTTGATTCCTCGTGTAGACACTACCTGCATCACAAAAAGTTATTAGGACACCGGAAGTTATGAGTTTTGTATCTTTGATTGTGACAGTTTCGTCCCATAACATGGGTCAATTTGTGCCTGATTATCTAGATTATGATCAACTCGGGTCTTAGCCAACTTAGACTTATACTATTATCCTGAGTAAATTTGTGTGCCTCTATGGACTTGTCGATATAGGCGTTTGGACGTGGGCCAACCATAAGTCCCCCACTCTCGATCATGTAGTGGCGAAAATTAATGGTGAGCACTTAGTATGTATAGTCATGTTTTGAAAATTTGTGATTTGGTTAGTTGATTTGACAGTTCATCATGGAAGTAACTTGGCGATTTTACAAAGTCATAGAAAAATTGGCAGCTCGTGAGAGGGTGAGTTTTACAATGTCATAGAGAAATTGGGAGCTCGTGAGAAGGTGAGTTGTGCAACGATCAGTAGAAATTGTGATTGCATCCCACTGAAAAGTAGGCAACTCTTGAGGCAGTGGGCGGCTCAATGATTAGAATAAGTGGTGGTTAACGGCTTGTCCTGCCATTGGCAAGTAGACAGCTCGTAAGGTCATAGACAGTTCAACAATTAATCGAATGGGATTATTTGAGAAAACCCCCTCATATGATATTTACAATTAGAGGGGATCCATTTATTTTTCCACATTTTGAGATAAATCCATTTATTTAAATATTATATTATTAAATCATTATAATCCTATTATACCCTTCTTGACCTAGTCATGTACTCATCTAATTTGAACCGCCGTTAATCTATCATTCCTCATCTATATTCATTTCTACTCTCTTCAATTCTATAGCACACAATACTCCCCTCCCCCTAATAATTCGGCCACCCTTTCTCCGCCGACTAAATCGGTGACCTTCTCCTCGCTTAAAGCCGCCGACGACCACAATGGAAGATCCGGTTTCAGTGTTGCCGGCAGATCGATGGTTCGCTCAAAGGTGTACTACGGTTTCCTATGCCCCTCTATTTTCTTTCCACGCCGATTTTTTGGATTTTTTTCGTGCATAGTACAGTCTAGCCTTTCTCCGTCTACGACTGTAAGGTGAAGCAAAATGCGGAATCAATGGAAGAGAAGAAGAAGGCGGGGACGATTGAAAAATGGATTCCTGAGGAAGAATTCCGCAAATATTGGTATGTCAAATTATATTTTTTGCCCTAGATGATGCTTTTTATAATTGATGTATTTTGATTTCAAATTTATTTTTTTTGGTTTTGTTCATATCACATGATTTCGTGACAATATATGTATATATAGTAGTCTGATAACTAATTATGATAAATAGATGATTCATATGATTTGGAAAATTAATACTACTATAAAAGATTTAAGTTCTGCAGGATAGAGAATAGTTAAATGATGGTTACGAATTTAATTTTCAATATTTTACTATCTATAATTATTGTCAAGCTCTGTGATTAATATTTAGTACTTCTCTTGATTTTAAATATGAAACCATGTTTTTGTGAGTAGGGGATAAATTTGATGTCATCCGTCATTATCCACACTTTGGCGGAGGTGTAGTGCGACGCCAACACGCCACCATCGTCTTTGGATCTTCTTCGTCGTCGTCCTCACAGAGAAGAGCAATAATCTGCTTGTGGTCAGAGCCACCAACCACCGCCTTCATACCTGGCGATTCACATAACGGCGCCAAGGCAATATAGGCACCGCCACGGCGCCACCAAGCGATTCAAATAGTAGATTATGTTTTTTTGTTTGTTATTTTTGAGTTGTGTTAGTAGTGGATTACGTATGTTTTTAGTGGTTTTGGATAAGTTTGTGGTAAATTTCGATAATATCATTGTGGATATCAATAATTTCGTAGTGGATTTCGGTCAATTTTCGTTGTGGATTTTGATAGTTGTAGTTTGATATGCTTGTTGTGGATTTTCGTAATGGAATACATTAATTACATAGTGGTTTTCAATAAGTTTACATTAAATTTTCGTAAAGGAATACATTAATTACATAGTGGTTTTCGTTAATTGCATAGTGGTTTTCGTTAATTGTACAGTGGTTTTCGTTAATTGTATAGTGATTTTCGTTAATTGCACAGTCACAGTGGTTTCCGTTAGTTGCATAGTGGTTTTTGATGAACTTGTAGTGGATTTCAGACAAAATATACCTGCTGCAGGCGCGAGGAATAGATGAGGGGGTGTCGACGCGCTTACGGTAAATAGTGGTTTTAGTAAATAGTGGTTTTCGACATTAAATAGTGGATTACGTTAAAGGGATGGAGTTGACAACGCGTACAGTGAATAGTTGATTTCAAATTTAGACAATGAATAGTGGATAGTGGTTTTAGTAAATAGTGGTTTTCGAATTCTTACGTGACATTAAATAGTGGATTACGGTAGAGGGATGAGGTTGACAACACGTACAGTGAATAGTGGATTTCAAATTCAGGCAGTGAACAGTGGATTACGTTAATTTTTTTTAGATAGTGAGTGTTCATAAATTTCGATGTGTATCGGAATAGTGAATTTTAAACTTAGACAGTGAATAGTGAATTACGTTAATTTTACAATGGATTACGACAATTTAATAGTGAACTTTACGTTATTTTTTTTATAATTTTTTTATAATGAATGTCGATAAATTTTGACAAATGTGTAGTGGATTTCATTTTTTGGTAAACCTGCTGGAAAGAAAATGATTTTTTAAAAAACTGAAATTTTCAATAAGTTTATAGTGAATTTTCGTAATAGATAATGTTAATTATTTAGTGGTTTTCGATAAGCTTATAATGGATTTTCGTAATGAACTACGTTAACACATAGTGGTTTTCGATAAATTTATAATGAATTTTTGTAATGGAATACATTAATTACCTAGTGGTTTTCGTAGATTACATAGTGGTTTTCGATAAATTTATAGTGAATTTCAATTTGTTAAAAACCTTGTTTTTTAAATCGAAATGTAAAAAGACAATTAAAAAAAAATCAATTTTTAATAACGAAAATATTTTTTTTTAAGAAAATTAAAATTTTATAATTTTTTTATAAAAAAACTTCAGAATAAAATAAATTACAAAAGAAAAAATACAATTTAATCAAAATTTTAAAAAACAATTTCTGCAAAAAAAAAAAAAAAGGTTAAAATTAAAAATAGAATCAAACATAATTTAGTTTAATTGAAACGGTTTGAGATGTTTTGAGAGATTTTGGGGATTAGACGGATTTTTAGGGGAGTTGTTTTGGGTAATTAAATTAAACATTAAAATTCGAAAATACATTATAAGGGTAATATAAGTATTTTGCTATGGGAGGGGGTTATCCCAAAAATAGGATTATTAATTGGACTTATCCCTCTTAGGAAATTAAATAAAGGGGTTATCTCATATAACCCCTAATCGAAATGATGGTTTACGGTTAGCCATGACACTGACGAAGTAGGTAGCTCATGAGGCCGTATTATTATCTTGAGTTAACTTGAGCTTTTTATTCGTGAATCGAACTATTTCCATACGCTGATACGCTCCCATGTTTGTTTATAGACAAAGGCTTCATTATTTACAATATGTCGAACTAATTTGAATTATTGTTGAATTGAATTGACTCCTACTAACATTGTATTAGATTTAATGTTTAGAATTATTAAAATCTAGTATTAAACGTAATATTTCAATGACATCTTGATTCAACAATCATTGTATCTTCATTTAAGTACTTTATGGATAAAATAACTTTTCTTAGTTACTATTTGCAAATTTAGTCGAACTTAATAGTGGCAACTGAACGAGGCCAAAATATAGAGGCAGATATAGATATATAAGCTATAAGAAGATTTAAGATATATATATGAACTATAAGAAAGCAAGATTTTCCCATAATTGTTCCATTAATCTTATATTTCTCTGCTTTAATTTTTAGTGTCAAAAAACTAGCTTCCTCATAGGTCTCGATAGTCGATCGTCAGCATGTTATAACTCGACATCTTCAATTTGAACTTGCACCAAACGAAGAAACATTACTGCCATTTGATGATGTTTCATTGGGATTGTTTCGACCAGATCCATTAATATTATCCCGAGTTTCGAGGCGCTCAATCATCCGAGATACAGTAGCAATGCCAGCATCTATTTCTCTCTTAACTTCAGAACCAATATCCGCCACCGAGGAGCTTCTAGAAAACAGCCTCTCCTTCCATCCCCTCGTACTATTCGAGATCGAGTCTTTGTATCTTAATCATGGTTAAACATATACACGTAAGCATTTTACAATTCAAGAAACCCAAAAAAAAAAAAACATCTCATCAGCAAAAGTCATTATTACCTCATTGAAATTGTATTGAATCGAGATCTCCAAGTGTCTGAAAAAGACTGAAAATCGGAAGGCCCTGCACTGTCGAAATATGGCGTGGAAGATTCGCTCGCGTGACCTCTAAAAATTGGATAATAGAAGAATTTGTTTATCAATTAATTGATTAAGCGAGAATGTATGTTGTAATAATAGAAGTACCTATCATCATTAACCGAAGAAATAGATGATGAAGTTGAAACTTGATTGGTTTGCATAGAAGACGACGAAAGTCGAAGTGATGGATCCCTTCTAGAAATGTGGTGGTGGCTCCTCCCCATCGAAGCAGCAGCTACTAAATGTTGTATAATACGGTCCTCGAGTTCGGAATCATTTAATCCCACCGGTAACTGCAATTACAAGAAAACTCGTGAATATACTTTTTTCGTACGGTAAAAATAAATAGATAATTTTTGTTGAACGGTAAATAATACTGCACACTGACATGCTGCACTTGATGAAACACTGTCGCATTTCTTGATGGAGTGAACCTAATACGTCTCTCCCGTTCAACGGCCTCGAGCAATTCTTGACTGGCAATTACACAACGAATTTTGTTATCAGAAATACCAGAAAAAAATTATTATTTGTTTATAGTCTTTAAGAAGCAAATGCAATGGAGCAAAAAAAAATGAAAATCGACCTGGTAGGATCTTTCAGGCTGATCGACTGCCAACACATTGGACAGTTGGAGCTTCTTTGACACCTGATCATAAATCGAATATATGATAATTAAGTTTTCTTTTCGACCCTGGTTTTCATCAAACATGAAAACACCAATTTCCACATAATTTTTAGACAACTTCGGTAAATCTTAGCCTAATCATGCTAATGCTCAGGTAATCTTCGATAATATGATTATCTCACACAACAATTTTGCACGAGGAAATCTAGATAATTGATCATCAACAAGTTCGAAAATAAGAGCAATAATTTATGTTCATACTAGTTTCCCCTGTAATCTTGGCAATAGTGTTATTCAGTTGACCACTTAAATGAAAACTCGAGAAGATTAAATTACTGAACAGAATGCAACTACCATTTGAATAGACCGTCAAAGATGCAAAAGATAGACGTTTATTTTGTACTTCCACGTTATATTTTGCAAGGAATTAAATAGATACGATGCACAATTACTACATTGCAAGTCAGAAAATCACAATACAGAAAACAATATAATACACAAGTACATACCATTCGAGAATACAGTGGAGGTGGAATTCATGCTTGCAGATTGTCACCTACAAAGGCACGATTCGTAAGATATTTTTTTTCACTAATAATAGCAAACGATAGCACAAACCATAACACATAGCAATTATATATAGAAACGCGAAACAATCATTCGATTGTGCAATTTACCGTCGAAGGATCGTTGGCACAAAAAGCCTCGAGGCATATGCTACAAGCATCTTCGCAGGGATCCTGAACCCCCCCGTAGAATGCCATGTCATCACCTGCCTTCTTGACCTCATCCATTCCAGGAACCTTATGTAACCAACCGCAAACAAAAAACGAGACAAAAATCGAGAAAGACGTTTAGAAAGTTTATCACGAAAAAAATTAAATACTTCGCCACATTCTCACTTCAACCCTAAATTAAGAACATTTGATCCCAAATCAAATTATAGAAAACAAACAAAATTGAGAACATTTGATCCTAAATCAACAAACCAACAAAATATACTTCATAAATGAGCGACGGAAATTCATTTAACAATCAAAATAAAACGTGAAGATCTTCATTCGCTATTTATACAATCAATGAAGCTTAAATTTCAATTGAATAAATGTATACGAATTCTGAATCGACGAAGCGTATCGCCATAATGTACATTTAAAAAAAAAAATTACCTCCATTAAGGGAGAGAAAAGTTCCAGAAACGAGAATGGGTCAAGAATCGGAAAATATGAACATCAATCCCTAAATTCCGACCGGTGAGAACTTCTCCCTGAGAACAAATATTAATATCGAGGTCACCATCCAGGCAAACCTCACAATTTAGAGAGAGAAAGTAAGTGGAGCGAGAAAATGGGGGGAGAGAGAGATGTTTAATAATGGAGGTCGAGTTTTCAGCTTTCTGTTTTTTTTATGGCCCTTTGTTGCATTCAAAATTTCTTAGGGTAAATTACACATACCTCCCCCAAGGTTAGTCAAATTACACCTAAGCACCCATAAGTTTGAAAATTCACTTATACTACCCTCTTTGAGGTTTGGTTCTAACTTCTAATCCAATGTTATTCGAACAAAAATAACTTGTCAATTTTCAGCCCTGGACATATGTCGATTGGGCCCAAATTCATTTCTTGATTAAATTAACTTGGGTTTAATTGGCCCTTGTGCTAAAAAAAGTTTTCATTAGGACTATATTGTAATTCATGGTAAGGCCCATCAGAATCTATATACAATCTTGCTATGCATGAAATAATTATTTTATTTTATGAAATAGTTTTATTTAGTAATACTTCATGTTAGATGATTAATAACCTATATTATGAGCACATGTCCTAGATATTACTATTAGGCTTTTGGCTTTTAAAACCTATCGACACATTGAATTTGATTTGAAAGCCAAACCTTTTCGGTATGTCGGAGTGAAAGCCCAATGGGTTGCAAGGAGTAAAATGGATAAAGAGCTCGTCTAAATGTCTTACGAGAGTCAAGACGAGCCAAATGCTCGCCTAAAAGGGTTGTGAATGATCAAACAGACTGAGAGCTTGCCTTATGCTTCTAATACGCGTGTATATGAGAAGGGGAGGCGCGGTAAGTGGCGAGCTGATCTCGTGACCGTTGGAGAATGTGATCTGAAGATAACTTTCATATTTTAGATAAATAAAGCAAATGTATTAACCCTACTACGGTTACATTAAGAGACAACGAGAGAACATACTTAATATTTTCTCTCGAATTCTCGCTGTCTCTTGTAGTATTTTCTTTTACTGTCTTATTCATTGCACTGGCCGTAAATTCCGTTGATCGATGAACTCTATGGCGTTGAGGATGCAGGGTTTGGAAAACGGTCTTGAGAGTGCAAATATTGTACCATCATAAAAATATATATGGCAAAAAAATTGAAAAAAGAAAAGAAGAGAAAAATGTGTGGGAAAAAAGGGTAAGAAGGACAAATTGAAGTGGGGAGGGTAAAAGAGGAACATGTACGAAAGGAAGGGAACAAATAGGGACCATTAGGGGGGGCCCCGCTACTCTGCATGCACCCATTTGCTGAACCACCTGGGCTCGCATCATCCCAACCTTGCGATGCTGACCCTTCAATTCCTGCAGTACAAGTGTACTACCCTTCAACTATCATACTCTATTTACTACATTTCTCGAGATAAAAAACAAAAACAAAAAAACACTTGATTTTGCGAGTGTTTTTTTTTTTTACCTCGACAACTATTTTTTACCAAAGCACCAATTTTTTTTAAAAAAAATATATATATATTTAGAGAGATGTTTTCCATCTTGATTTCTTGTGAGTTCATCGATCTTAATATCTAGGGCTGAAAGTCGGATAAAACGGATCGAAATTCATTTTTTGCAAAAAGATTTTAAATTTTTTCGGAAGTACAAAACTAATTCCAATTTCAATTCTAAAATTTTTGTAATCTAGAAATTCATATCAATTCCAAAAGTTAAAGAAATTTCGAAATTTTGAAAATCAAATAACTTTTAACATTTCGAAAATTAAATCGGAATCGGAATTTCAAAGATTTTTTTTATATAATTCCAATTTCAATCCAAAAACATCGAAATTTGTTGAAAATCCTAATGAAAAAAGGTGTTCCAAAATCGGAATTTTTCGGATCGAACCAGTAGAATTTGAAAATTCCGTTCACCCTTCCTCCCCTACTAATGTCGATTTCACTTTACTGAAAAGAAGAGAAAATAATACTAGCTGAACAGAGCACATGAATTTGTTCAAACTTGTTACAAAGTTTTATTATGTTGAAAATAATACATACCTACTACTCTTTTTAATTTGTTGCCGTGAATCTTCCCAATAATTTACTTCCTCTGTATTTTGATCTCATTCGAGGTTTGAATTCGGATATTAGGAAATTCGTTAAATAACCTTAATTATGTTGAAATATATTCTTTTTTTACGGGTATGGGGCGAGGCGGGCACATGAGGTTTTATTAAAAATGAGAATACGAGAATTTGGAAGAAACGTGTAAATATTAAAAGTATAAGAGGTATGTTTATATAAATGTTATATAAACATATTACGTTTTTATTTATATATAAATTCTTCTTATATATTTTTGTACAAATATATTCAAAATAAATTTTGTTATCAACTATTAATTTGCAGTTTATCATTAAATCATATCAATAACTAGAGAAACAATAATAATATTTAAAAATTCATTATTCAAACATGTTTTTAACTTTTCAGAATCTGTAAAATGGCTCAATACGATATACGCTGGATGTCTTTAAGTGTCGGACACGAAACATATCTGAAACGCGAAAACGTTACAAAGTGAAATTTTTCGTACTATGTAGATAATAACATCTATTTCAATGGTGTCTACATGTCTAGTACTCAGAGTCTGGAATTTCCTTTTGTTTCTGCTCAAATTTCATTAATTGAAACATACACATATGACCCCCAAAAGCATCAATTCTTTATTAATCAGACTTGAACTCCATAAAGTCAAAAATCACAAGTCACATACGAAATTGATTGAGTAAAATATTAGGGCAATACTAGCTGGTTCTAGAATAATCTCCAAATACATTTCAATGTGACAATTTTTTCTCACCGGTTGAACCGGGATTTCCACGATTCACAGACAACTGACTCGGGTTTTATTATTTTTCGGGTATTTGAATTCAACCGGACCGGACTAGCTACCGGCTCGCGGTGAAACCGTCGGACTAACCGTTCTAATTTTCGAAACATTGATTAAAAGACACCGAGGGTTTGATTGGCTTATTTTGGGAATGTTTATAACTATGTGTTTTATTTTACTTTCTAAATATAGTATCATATGACCCAAAGTACATGCATACAATTAATATATGAACTTCAGTTATATTTCTTATCTATATTATTACATATCAAATTATTTATGATATATATATATATATATATATATCAAAAAAATATTTGCACTAAAAAACTTTTTCCTTATCAAAGAAAAGGAAACGAAACAAAGCACAATAATTTTCTCATCCTCTGTACATTAAAAAACTTGAAATATACTTACTTGGCAAAAAAGAAAATTAATTCTTTTCTTTTTTACCGCGGCCAATAGTAAAATCCAATTTTACTAGACAGTAAAAATAAAAAACATAAGCAGTGATAGAATGTAAATTAATATATATAAATGTTTTCAATTTATTTTTTACTGAGCTGAGACTTCAGTTCTTTGGGAGGGGCTCCGCCAGAAACCGGCGCCGTAAAACTTATCCCACATCTCCTTCTCCAGCTCAATTACTTCACTGTCGTCGGAGACAGATTCCAGAGCAGTAACCATGGCGAGAGGGCTTGTTACCGGGTGTATCTGGAACTCATTCTCGTCGCAGCCGCACTTCCGCTGCGGCAGCAGCCCCTTCTTCAGCAGCCTCCGGTGGCGCTTCCTTCTCAGCGCCTTCCTGCACAGCCCCGCCGGCAACTTGTACACCGCCAGAACGATGAGGTTCACCAGCCCGCAGGGGCAGCAGCAGCACACCGCCGCGCACTCCGCCGCCGTCCCCCCGGCCACCTCCGCCAGCCTCACCTTATTCCTCGCCCCGCCGCGCGACGAGTAGTCGGATCTCTCCAGCAGCGGCGACTGCCGCCTGTCCAACGCCGGCGACCGCATCGTCATTTGCCTCGTCATCTTAATTAGATCAATTCCGATCAAATTCCCCGATCGAATTCCGATCAAATTAAATTCCTCCTCCGCCGCCTCTTAATTCCCCTTCTCCACAATCCCCTAGAGAAAATTCCGCCGCCTGCACTTTCGAAATTTCCCAAATTGAAAACCTCGAATTTTCAAAAACAACAAAAAATATATATGTATATATAAATCTCGATCCATCCATACCTGCGATTAATTATCAATGAATTTCGATAAAAATAATGCAGCGCGAAACAAGTGCCATTGTCGGAGGTGAAGGCGGAAGTCCGACGGCCGGGCTACTACACACAGTAACACGGCGGTTGTGCGTGCGGAGGAATCTCTTTTTTTTCAATTAATTTTTTTTTTGGCTTCTTTTTTCTTAGATAAATTAAGGTGCCTTCCGAATATCAAGGAGAGCTACTGAAAATTGTTGACAAATTCAATTCAATTCATTTTGCTCAACGGCTCACCTTTTTTTCAGCTCGGCTTTTTATTTCCCGTTCCAGAATATATGAACGTGTGTGTGTGTGTGTGTGTGTGTGAGAGAGAGAGAGAGAAATCTAGAGAGAGAGAGGTCTAGAGAGAGAAAGAGATGGAAAATTGCAATAAATTGGAGGAAATAATAATTGCAAGGAAAATGGTAGGACTAATGAATGAGATAACGTATTCATATATAGTGTGACTGTTTATTAATAATTTTTTTTTTATTAAAAAAAAAAAAAAAAAAAAAAATAATTATTATTATATTACTATAATATATTTGAAAATAAAATGAAATTGTTGAATGATGTGAATGAAATTGTAGAGGGAACAAGTAAACGTGAAGGCAGCGTAGATAAGCACACAATCTGGTTCGTATAATTTTTGGAGATTATGTTGTATGTGTCACACTCACCAAATACACAAAATCCAAACTACTAGAAAAATATAAATTAAATAAAATAAAATCATATTCTAACATTATTGCCGTAATCAAATTGAGCCGTTCTGGATTGGATAATATTTAGTTTTGTGATTTTTATATTTTTTAAATGTAGAATGGGATTAGCCTCCATATTTAATAATCAAATGATGTAATAATCTTCTACTTACATATTATAAAATATAATGTAATTGTTGTATATGAAAATGAAATAAAAATTCACATTTATTTCCATAAAAAAATAACTCATCTGGGAATTGTAATGAATTTCTATGGAGTAGTTGCATTTTTTTGTTCTCATTCAGTCTCATTTCAAATCTTTCGATAAAAATGGTTAGCGTTGTATATATTACGTATCATTTATGATTTACGAGCTATTATACATACGAGAAATGTATCAAATGCATTTAGAGTGACAACATGTGTTTTTTTTTTTTTGTGTGAAAAAAAAGTAAAAAATAACTAAGAGTGAAAATTTGACGTACTCTATTCATATTAGCACTTTTGAAAAAGTTAATTCTTTCACGAGTAAAATTTAATTTAAGTTTCATTCTTAACTGACTGGAAATCAGAATATTGTTACAAAGTTGAAATAATTGGGATCAACAAAAGTCGGAATTTTAGTTTTTTAGTCACCTGTAAGATAAAAGACATGAACATGATTATATAATTTTATAAATAGAATTTTCTGAAAATTTTGAAATATTCAGATTTTTTTCTTTTGGAATCTAATATCCATTTCTCATTTCATTTAAAAAAATCAGCAAAATTGAAAATCGAAACTTTCAGAATTTGAAATGAAAATATCGTTCCAAAATTGAAATCTTCATATATGACTTGACAAGATTAAAAAGTTTCATTCCAATTTTCCCTTGAAATTATATGAAAGTTATGAATTTATTTTTTTGTTTTTTATCTATATAGATAAACATGTCAAACT